AGCTCCGTGTGACTTCTTCCTCTTCCCAAAGATGAAAATTCAGCTAAAGGGAAGGAGATTTAAGACGATAGAAGAGATTCAGGCAGAATCGCAGATGGTGCTTGACAGGCTGACAAAGAAAGATTTCCAGGGATGCTTCCAGGCTTGGCAGCGGTGCTGGGATCGTTGTGTTCACTCCCAGGGGAACTACTTCGAGGGTACTGGTTTTTATACGCGCAGTCTGGAAACCTTTCGATCGCACCTCGTATGTTTGTTGTTAATGAAACCAATTATGAATAAAGTGATACAATATCTTTCCTTATATCTCACTAAATATTTCATACCTAGTACATCAGGAATTGATCAGTTTTTAGAAAGTTATAGTTTTCTAATTTAGAAGTGACATAAAAGGATTATAATTTCTTATTTATTTGATTGGCCTTCACTGTACTGTAGGGAATGAAAATTCCTAAAGTAGATGGACATGTTTACTATACATAGTTTGCTCATTTTCCTTTGTTAAGTATGCAACAAACTGGAAGATACCACAAATAAAAGTGGTACATTTTAATAAACAGTATTTTGTATTTATTGTATACTGAGATGTTATTGAACAGCAGATAAAGTTTGATTCAGTTTCATATGAATTAAATGTTATATCGCATCAAGATTAACCAAAAAATAAGTCTTCTGAAACCTTTTTGTACAAAACCACCAATACAAAATTTTGCTGAAATATTTTCTGAATTTGTAGAGATGACATGTGCAATGATCACACTGTGCTTTTACTTTTTGCACTTAATGCAAAGTATACATAAAAAAGTGTTAGTGTTGAATTGATAAAACAGCCATGTATATGCGCAGGTTACGAGTATTCAGCTGGAGTCCTCGGAAGTCTTCATGGGAGGAGAACCAGGCGAAAGAGATTCCATACCTGTATACCATTACTGCACTAAGCTGGAAGCGAGATGGATCACGGGTTGTGTGTGGAGCACTCTGTGGTGCTGTTGAGATGTTTGAGTCAGTGCTGAAGTAAGTTGATTTATTATATACAGAAGGAAACCAAGCAGTTGCAGGCAGAACTCACAGAGCCTATTTTCTTCTTGCACAGACTTCAAGTCATACAAATCTTGTGTTATTAATATTATATCAGATACCTAACCTAAATTTATAAGCTAACAACAAAATGTAATTTAGCTGATAGGTTAGTGTGCTGAATTTGTGAGCAGTTGGTCATGCTATCAATTTCTCATCGAATAAGTATTTTTAATGCATGTAATTGTGAATATGTTACATGCACAGTATTGTTATACCAATAACAAGGTACTTACTGACCAAGTGTTTGGTACCGATGTTAGATGGCAGAATATTCTATTTTACAAATGCTGCATGTTAATTACAGTTCAGTCAAATTGTTGGAATCAGTATTGAATAGAACATATGTTTTCTTGCATTATGTTTTGAGCCCAACTTATCCAGTGGTTGATGGCCAATCAAACGTTATCTTGTGATATGAAAGACCACACTTTGTTGCAGTAATCCAAGGGACTGAAACAGTTTTGTCTGATTATTTTAAAGTTTTGGAAAATGTTCTTCCACTGATGCTGTTTCTTTTTTAATCTCTATTTGATGAAAATATTTATCTCTTGGTTATTTGAATCTGTGGTTTTATTATTTACCTATACAGTATATATTTAAGTTTTTATTTAGTAGTCATATTATTGACCAAAATTATAATTTTTAAACTTCCATAATTCATTATTTTATATCACAATATTATTATTGTTCTGTATGTTACACTCATGATGTTTGTCATAGTTTAGGTCTGTATTTGCTACATACTGCTCAGTATGCTGTGTAATGTCTTGCTGCTTTTTTTTGTAGGCGAACATTATGGAAGAACAAGTTTGAAATGACATATGTTGGTCCAAGCCAAGTACTTGTTAAACCATTAGCACCTGGATCACGTGGTGTTATCCTCAAATCACATTATGGCTATGAGATTGATGATGTACGCATCATGGGCCGGGACAACTATCTCGTTGCCCGCACTTCGGAAACTGTTCTTCTGGGAGACTTACAACGTAACTTACTCAGTGAAGTGCTGTGGACACACACTGGAAGAAATGAAAAGTTCTATTTTGACAATCCAACTGTATGTCTTATCTTCAATGCAGGTGAACTTAGTCTGGTGGAGTATGGACAGAATGACATTCTAGGATCTGTTAGGTTGGTACCATACTATGAACACCTTGTTGAGTATGCACATACATTTACATGTAAATTAAAGTGGGACTGATAATTGATTGGTAGGACACAAAAATGCATCTTTTGATGAATTATTTATGTTGTTAGTCGACATGTCAATGTTTATCTTTGCCTCTATTTCTTATACAGGACAGAATTCATGAATCCTCATCAGATCAGTGTACGCTTAAATGAAAGACATCTTAACACAGCAGAAAATAATAAGAAGTTGGCATATTTGCAGGATCTGAAGACCATTTGCATAGGTATGGAACATAAGATAAAATTCAATTTTAAAGGGTTTTGACAATGGTGTGTTACACTCAGGATTACTAAATTCTTGGACTTTGTCCATTGTCTGATATTCAGAAGAACACAACATTTCAGAAACTTGATCTGTTTCCATCGTCAGGTTAAAAGAGAAGGGGGCAACTACTCACCTGGGTCCATTAGAAAGAGCTAACCTCAGTCACAGTCATGAGATTAAACAACTTTTAATTTAGAAAATATTGGCCATTTTATTATAGCCAGATTAGCTCAGTTGGTAATCTTATTGCCTGCAAACTGGTTAACCAGTATTTGGTTCGTGGTAGGGGTTGGTGTCTTTCCCTTCTCTAGCTGAGGTAAGGACATGAATTACAAGATAGGATGCATGTCTTCCATCATTTGCTTCAGGTCATATGGTGGAGCAAATAATTCGTTTCTGTTTATAGTTTCCATTGACATAGATTTTCACAATGTGAAATTTATTAGCTGTAGTCTCATAGTTTCATGCTATAACCATATTTGTAATTGTTAACTCATAACTATCAGTTACTAACTGACTGACTAACCAATGCTAACTGCATGGAACAGAGTCGTCCTTGGAAAGCTAATAGTACACTCAGCTAGTAAAGAATTTCCCTACCATTTATGGAACCTTAAGATTCATTATCATTTTCACAAGAGCCCACTACCAACCCTTATCCAGAGCCAGATAATCCCAGTTCACAACCTCCAACCCTGTTTTTCCTCTGTCTCTTCCTAGGTCATCCAAGCCATTCATATTTCTCATCTCCCTCATGTGTGCTACATGTTTTACCTATCTCACATTCCTTGGTTGGAACACCCCAATAATATTTAGTGAAGACTACAAATTATTGAATCCTCATGCAGTTTAGTAGGATTTGAGGATTTCACAGTGGTGAGTATCTCAGGCGGGATCTATGGGAGATAGGAGTTGGAGGAGACTGGATTTCGTTGGCCCAGGACAGGGTCCGGTGGAGGGCTTTGGTTAATTCGGTGATGAACCTTCGGGTTCGGTAAGCCATCTAGTTTGTTAGTTAGTTAGTTAGAGTATGAAGATTGCTTTTTTGTCTTGGCTGTCATGGGTTGTAGCACCATTTCACAGGTCCTTGCTGCCTCCATCATTGCCCTGATGATGGAGGCAGCAAGGATGTCTGAAACGTTAGTAAACTTTTACCAGAGTACATGGCAGTACTATCCAGCAGACAACCATTTTCTTTCTCATGCAGTTTTCTTCAACCTACTCTCATTTCATCCCTCTTAGATCCAAATATTCTCGTAAACATCCTGTTCTGAGACACCCTCAGTAATTTTTGACACAAAGAACACAAAATTTTTAGGCATGTTCTTTGATATACAAGAGCTGAACCGGCTAATAAATGTTCATCAAGGCACAAATGAATGATGTAAGATAACAAAGAATTCATTTGGAAATATTCTGTACTCAAAACTGAAGTACACTTTTAGTTCTTCCCTTATCTCAAGAGATTTTTTCTACCATTCTGTTTGCCAGTGGACCTGGTGTATGGAACAACAGTTTCCCAAATAACACATGACTCAAAGATTGATTGGTTGGAGCTTAATGAGACAGGGCGCAAGTTGCTGTTCCGTGACAAGAAGATGCGCCTCACTCTGCTTGACATCTTAAGGGACCAGAAAAATTCCATTTTGAATTTCTGTACATTTGTCCAGGCAAGTAATTAGCTACAACTCTAATAATTTACTCTTTTGCAAGATCTTAGAATCAGGTTATCAAGAAATTTCCTTGAAGATGACTATCTCTTGGATGTTTTATCATGCAGTCTTATGTAAACTGAACAGTGTCTTTAGTTTTGACAATTGAGTTGACAGTTTGTTGCTTTGCTACAACTGTAGGCTTATTTCAAAATATGTTTTCCACTTATCATACTGTATGTCTTGTTCATATTTATATTGACTCCTTAGATGTTATGAGCAGAGTATAATAATCCATGGCGTAACAGCCCTCTGAGAGTCTAAGCCGACTAGCTGGCTGCTGGCCTCACGTTCACATGCCTAAGCAGAGGTGAATGATCATCCAACCAGATATAGGGTGACGTGTGGTTAGCATGACGAACCGCCAGCCATTGCTAGTTTTCATGACCGGATTACACTACCCATTATAGCTCCCCAATTTCCTCGCGATTCTGGGTTGGCACTGGTCCCATACACTGGTCGAAAATTTCATGAGAAATTTCTTCCCCGAGACTCGAACCAGCGCACATTCCATATCACTGATCCGAAGCATGATGCCTCAGACCGTGCGGCTACGGCGCGGGACATGAGCAGAGTATATTACATTAAAATAGACTGCGACTGCTTCTTTTATGACCTTTCATCATTCACAATCTTCCTACCATTTAATGTTATGTAACACATGAGTCATTCAATCACAACTGAAAATCTAGATGTAGGTATGCAAAGTTGACAAAAGAAGTGGCTGCAAGTTGGACAACTGGGATTTCATTATGTATGGAGGGCAAGGATTTTTCCTTGTGTCACAACATCCAGGTCAGCTGCCATCTGGCCACCTGTCCAATGAGCACCGGAAACTTTTTTCCTTGGATTAAAGTGGCCAGAGGATAAAGCTGGCCACTTAGCTACTACTAGTGCCAGGTCTAGAATACATGGAATTTATCTCCATACCTCCTGTCTGCTTCAGTGGCATAGCCCTTAGTCATGTAGAAAACTTTGCTGTTACTAATATTCTATATTTTTTTCTGTGATGACAGTGGGTGCCTGGTAGTGATGTTGTTGTGGCTCAGTCACGGAACAATTTATGTGTGTGGTATAACATTAACGTTCCAGAGCAAGTCACATTGTTCAGTATCAAGGGAGAAATAGCAGATGTCATTAGAGCGGATGGTAGAACAGAGGTACGTTGATTTAACCCTTAATGTCTGTTTTTACAGTTTTCTCTAATATCCTGTGCAGAGTATATTTTGCTACTTTAGGTTTTTTGTATTACTGTTTTTTTATGCTTTCATTTTATTTTTCTCTTATCTTATGATTGTATACATAAGCTGGGGTAGCTCAGTTAGTTTAGTGTCTGACTACACACTGGACAACCAGTGTTTAATGCTTGGCAGGGGCGAAGGATTTTTCTTGTAGCCTCTGCTTCCACATCAGCTCTGGGGCCCACCAAGCCTCCTATCCAATGGGCATTGGGTAACGGATAAGTATTACTGTGCCACTAAAACTTTCTATAACTATCAGATTATGTTACTTCAGTAGTCTCATCCACCTGAAGTGAATGATCTTGTGACATGGAAAATTGTGTGTCAAACACTTATAGTAACATGTAGCACTGGTGGGATTGAAATGTGTGCGCTTCTATAAATATATGTAACACTCAGACTGTCAAATTATAGCAGTAAGAACAAGAGATTGTACCTTAGCTTCCTTGTTTTAGAACAGAAGATAGGATTGTGGTATAATTTTATCCCGGTACACAAAAAGATACTTATAATTTTTTAAATATCCTTAAAACAGTAAAATAATTTATTGTTGTAGGTTAAAAGTTTCATATGTATGGAAACACTGAATTAGCTTTTCATTGTATACATATCACATACATTAATTGCAGGTAATTGTTCAAGAGGGCCAGCATCAGCTGGGTTATGAATTAGATGAAGGCCTTATTGAATTTGGTACAGCAGTCCATGATAATGACTTTGGTCGAGCCATCATGTTCCTGGAGTCCCTAGGAGACAAACCTGAAGCTGAGGCAATGTGGAGTAATCTTGCAAGCTTAGCTGTTGATAAGAACAAGTTGCAGGTGGCTGAACGATGTTATGCAGCTTTGGGAGACGTGGCTCAAACACATTACCTGAGAGAAACTATAAAGATAGCAGATGAATATGCAAAAGAAAATGGTAAGTAACTAAGTAATTAACTCTGTGGAGCAGTCCTAATTGAGAAGCTAATACTTTCTGACCTGTACAATATTTTATTTTGATATATGGAACTCAAACATTTATTGCCATGGTCACAGGAGACTACCACTGGTCTCTATTGTGAACCACATCTGCATCTCATGCCCTATAATTGTAATTAACATATTTAATGATTAGTTGTATTCTGTGAGTGTGTGTGTTTGTGGTGTAATGAATCAGTCATTTTCCAAATCTAGAGAATCATATCAAGGATGCCCTCATTGCAGACAATCATATTTGTTATTTTATATTTTAAGTATTTTATTGTAACACATAATAAACAATTAAATTGATTATTCAGCTGGAAATGGGATGGCTTGTCCTGAAGTATGGGCCCGTCTGGCAATCCTCAACAAGAGACTGAAAGATGCAGAAGCCATTTATTTGGAACAGAACCAATTGGATGAAGCTCTTAACATGTACCAACGCTTCCACAAGTGGGATGAAGGTAGCATATTTTAACTCACTTTTAAAATATTGTGCCTTCTACAGTGCACCTGTTTTTCTTTTTGTTGCTTGTGTTCTGTGTTTGTTCACATCCCATAAGGCCTTAATCTCACCTGTTGCAATATTTTTCAGTAATGAAACACCAGTGCATGGTGAGAGATTGCTGTATTTTTAATATGAATGATACCTACATAATTCTGTTCCCTTGACGAGCTGAATGGTACGTTTGATTTGCAGCGTTAGCATTGGCAGAGCTGAAGAGCCACCCCAAGTATGAGGAACTTCGTGAAAAACACATGAAATGGCTAATGGAGACTAATCAGGAAGAGAGGGCTGGTGAAATTAAAGAAAAAGATGGTGACTACAGCACAGCTCTGAACTTGTACCTCAAAGCCAATCTCTCTACAAAGGCTTCTAGGTGGGTCATTCAACTGAGATAAAAGTTTTCTGGGTTGAAGTTTTGATACTGTTAATTTTGTTACATACTATGACTAAAATTATATACTACATGTTCAATGTATCAGTTAATGTGTTAGCTCTTCAGTGTAACAACAAAACAAATGAGAGTTAGTGAGAATAAAATTTTTAACAAAATGATTGACAGGCAACCTTGTTAATTTGAAATTCACATTGTCGGATGTCATTGGGTCTGAAATAAGCATTTTAAATAATCTAATTGTCTAAGTTCACACTTATTTTGCATCTTTGTTGTGGTTGTCACAAGACTGCACAATGGAAGTGATTCATCGAGTTGTATCTATAGTTCTGTGGAGTGTAGAGAGTAGAGAGTAGGATAGCTCTAATGGCAGAATGATTGGTGACAGGCTGGATTACCTAATTTTGGTATTGGCAAGAAAAGGATCCTTTCTTTGCTACCACATTCAGAACAGATCTGGAGACTAATCATTCTTCATGTATAGAATTATTGGTCATGCATTTTTTTTACAGAAGTGCATTAAATTAGGCATATTGGGAGATGTATCCTTCCATTTGTCTGTGAAACCACTGAACAGATTTCAGTGTACTCATAATTTGGTACTGGAAGTATATATTAAAAGCTATGAGGAAAATGAATTTATTGTTAAGTTCATATTAGTATAATATAATGCCTATGTTACATGAATTTTCATCAAACTTTGTAATTTTTATCAGAATCTTTATATTATGAAGAAGACTGGTACATGACATAAAATGTATGTCTCGTGCAGACCAACAATTTTTGTTTAAACCTTTTTCTGCATTGTGTATATTTAACAAAACACATTTATTTCTGATTCTGTACAATGATACTACTTGTGATCAGCATTGCAACAATAGACTTACATCTGTATTAAATGAAGGTCAATGAGGTATTCAAAATATGAAAGAACACATTTGGAAAATATGTATGTTCATAGTAAGCCTACAATTTTTTCCTCTTGTTCAGTCCTTGGAAATTTCATATTTCCAGTATTACATAATATCAGTTTACATATTTGATTTACTTTGTACATTCCAGATTGATCCAGAATAATCCTGAGATGCTACGTAATGATGAACTGGTGGCTAAAGTTTTATCAGCTTTACTGCGTGGCAAATTATTTGAGCAGGCAGGAGAGCTTTATGAGAAAGTAAACCAGACTGAAAAGGCTTTTGAATGCTATAGAAAGGCTCAGGCATTTCCAAGAGCTATAGAACTGGCTCGATTTGTTTCACCATCAGGTACTGAACAATTTTTCTCATACTATATTGTTGTAAAGAGCGAATTTCTGTAAAACCTTCATATCTACTTATGAATCCATTTGGCATCACAACCCAGAACAAATACATTGTCATCTTCATTGCTATGACAACCTCAAATCTCACAATTTTTCTCACGCTTACTGCTGTATAGAGGGTCTCATGATCAGGTACTGAATAATTTTTCACATTTGTTTACTGCTTTATAGATGCTTGTGCATTCCAAGAGCTATAGACTTGGCTCAGTTTGTTTCATCATCAGATACTGAATAATTTTGACGTAAATACGTCTATAAGGAAGGGTCATTCGGCAAAAAAGTGGAATGAAAAACGGAAACAAAAAAGTGTACCAAGTGTACCTAGGGAACGTCGTGTTTACTCGGAATTGTTGTTACCTAGGAAATGTCATCTGTTTACTCGGCATTATTGTTACCTAGGAAACGTCATCTGTTTACTCGGCATTGTTGTTACCTATAAAACATTACATTACCTTACCTTACCTTATCTTACCTTACATTACATTACATTACATTACATTATATCATATTACTTTGCATTACATTCAGCTACCACAGACCCATCTTAAGCGTAACTAATTCAAGTTTATTAAGCAATGTCTTAATCAAACTTATCTCAATTGTAAAGCATGTATAAAGGAAATATTTAGAATAAAGTCAATATATAAACTTCCTTTCCGTATAGATGTATTTACGTCAAATTCTCCGGAACCGTGGTTCCACTGACAACTTTTTCTCCTGTGTTTACTACTATAGAGGCTCAGACATTTTCAAGAGCCATAGAACTGGCTCAGAGTGTTTCAGGTACCAAATTAGCATAAATTAATGTTAGCCCATGTCCATGTTTAGATATTATCAGTAATGTTTCCCTTTATCCTCTTTACTTTCTCACACAAAGTGCAGAATGGTACTGTAATTATAAAATGAAAGGAAACAGAGATTTAGACAGAATTACAAGTCTGCATATTTTTTCTATATCTACAACTTGGTACAGGAAAGTCAAGTGGGGCCTACTCCAGATTCAGTGTCTAATGCATTTCTAACTACCTTGGTAGTTTTGAGTGTTGTGTCAAAATTAATTATTAATAATATTAACTTGTATTTTAGGTATATCTGTAAAATATATACAGTCTGAATAATGTATAGCCATTTCACAATTATGTTTGTTATAGAATATTCCTATTTAAGCCCTACAGTTCATGGCTACTTTGAAATATCACCATCCAAACAATTAATAAAAATAGTTGCACAAAAAAGTATAAAGTATCATGATTTTGGTTCTTTACAGAGGTTGTACATCTGGAGGAACAATGGGGAGACCATCTGGCAGCCAACAGGCAGCTTGATGCTGCTATAAGTCATTACATTGAGGCTGGCAAAACACTGAAGGCATTGGAAGCAGCTGTGGGGGCCAAACAGTGGAAAAAATCTGTTCAGATCATCCAGGTCATATTGTGTAATAAGTAGATGTTGCATGCTTTAGCTACAAGTACTTCATTGTTTGAACTGAAGCTATTACATAGCAATTTCTCATCCACCAACAGATTCTCTCCAGTGGTTACTTCACTGTTTCATAGTTCTGTGAAGGAATAGGGTTGGAAGATAATATTTAAATAAATCTTAAAGAAGGTTTTTTGTTTGCTGGATTTCATTGGCACATAATAGGGTTCAGTTGCAGGCTTTTGTGAATATAGTAATTACCCCCCCCCCCCCACTTTTTTTTTTTTTTTTTTTTATAATTTTATACCTTTTACTTTTCAATAAATATTATTAGAGTGATCAAGTAAAGGAGGATGAGATGGACAGGATATGTATCATTAATAGGAAAGATGAGAAATGCATATAACATTTTAATCAGAAAACCTGAAGAGAAGTGACCAGTTGGTAGACTCCGACATAGATTGAACAATGATATTAAAATGTATCCTAAAGATAAAGGTATGAGGTTGTGGACTGAAGGTAGTATCCAATGACAGACTCTTGTGAACATGGTAATGAACCGACAGGTTCTAAGAAAGGTAAGAAATTTCTTGATTAGCTGAATTACTGTAAACTTCTCAAGGTGCTCTATGGAGTTGGTTAGATGAAAAACTATCAACTTTTCACACAACACTCTGTACCATGGAACTAGTTATGAATGGATTAACCAACAGTAAATTTAAGTACAGCGATGAAAATTCCAATCTCTTGATTTTCATAGGTGTTTGATGATCCTGAAGTTGTTGCGAAGTACTATACTCATCTAGGAAAACATTTTGCTTCTAATCAAGAGTA